ATTTACAGAATAATTATACTAATTCTATACTTTTTAATTATATTTAGTAAAATTTATATTTAATATATAAAAATATATAAAGATATTTAATATTCTATAATTATAATAATTTAAAATGATTTATATTAAATGTTAATAATTTTTTGAGTATTAATAAATAAATGTTATTAGTAAATATAAAATTTATATAAATTATATATTATCTAATTAGAAAAAAAAATAATTAATTTTTATTTAATCAATAAAGCATTATAAAAAAATTTATAATAATAACTAATATATATAATTTAGAATATTTTTAAAATTTATTAAAATATTTATTTATTTATTAATTATAGAAATATAATTTTACAATTATTTGATTTAATAATAATAAATCTAATAAGTTATATTTTATTTTTCATAATTACTAATATTATATTTATATTAATTCTTAAATCTTAAAAATTTTCTATAAAAATTTTGATATTTAATTAATAATATACTAATTAAGTTATTATTTTATAACATAATTTAAATAAAAATAAAAAAATTGGCAATTATTATTTAATATGAATAAATATTAATAAAATAGATTTTCTTTCATATAATATATAATATAATATAATTATTACAATTTGTAAGATTGTAAAAGTTAAAATAAATATATTATAAATGTAAATATATATAATATTCTTATATAAAATTATAATTTAAATTAAAATTTTAAAGATTTTAATAATATTAACTAATTCTGTAAATAAAAATTATTATTTAAAGACATTAAAAATATAATATTAGACATTTTAAACAATTTATAAAGATTAGAAAATTATAAAAAAGTTATAAAAATTTTATTAAATAAGTATATCAGCTAAGTATTAATATTTTAATAATTAATTTCCGTTTTAGGAAATTAGTTATTAAAATAGTAGAGGTCCGGGCCAGGCTTCAAAATTTGGACTTAGTTTTTATTATTTTTTAAATAATAAATCTATATGATATATTTTGACTACCATTTAATTAATATAGGCTTTTATTAGTACATTATGCGAAATTAGTACCATAGTGAATCCTTGCTATTCAAGGAGTTTTGCTAGTAGAATACTGACACTTTATTCTAATATTGTAATATTAAAAACAACTAATAATAAAATATTCATTGTTAAGAAACTGATCCTATGAAATTCAATAATATTCTAAGAAGAACCGGTTTTAGAAATGAAATTTTATTTGCATATTTCATATTCCTATTATATAATTTATTACATCATGTAACGATTTTAATCCGTTAAAACAGAGTACAATAGCATTTATTAATTAATAGTTATTTAATATCTTTGATATTATTTAGAATAATCTAATCAAATTTGGATCTAAAGTCAATAAATTGATGACTACAATAATTTACGATATTATATAGAGTTTGTGATCCCAAGCGACATTTTGATAGACGAATCATGGGATATGAAAGAAAACAAATATTTACAAATATATTTGATACAGATGCCGATCATACAAAAAAGGTATTTTTTTTTTTATTTTTAATTACTCAAAACCTTAATATAACTAATCAATAGTTGATCTATTCAAAATAACTACTCGAGCTCTTTGTTGTATAAAATCGTGGTGAAAAGAAATTCATGGTCTTCGGAGGGTTCAATGGGTTGTTTAGATCAGGACTTTGCGTGGTCCAAAACATCATCATGAATTTGGCATTTTGCAAACTATGAATCAATGGTGTTGTCTTTTGAAAAAACAAAAAACAAAAGGTGAGGGAATTGTAAATTGGAAACAAATAAAATTCTAATTTTGGCAAAAACGTAATTTGATCGACAAATCATCAATTATCAAATGGGAAGATATTGATTGTAAAGGGACCACGACATGAAATTTTCTTTGAAATAATTTTTTAATTGAGATAAAATAAATAAAATACTGGAAGTATTTTTTTTTTTTTAAAAAAAAAAAAGAAAAAGAAAAAAAAGAAGGTTGGAACTTTAGTTTATCTCATGATAGTGCATTACGTCATCATGGAAGATCGCGGCGTTGTGATCTCATTTGTAGCTCGAATTTCTTTTTAAGGAATGATACGGCGTTTTATTATCATTATTATAAAAGTGAACTAAATAAAAATACTTTACTAATTCATTCTTCTTTTTCATTCCTCTAAAAATCCAGAAAAAAAAAAAAAAAAAAACTTATTTAATTAGTTGAAAGTAAATCTTTTCAATAATAAAAAATTAATACAAATGATTTCAAAACTTCCTTATGATTGTATAAGTGACATGTTAGAGTTTCTTCGCGATGACAAGAAGACACTTTATTATTGTTTATATGTTGATCGTACCTGGTGTCAACTTGCGGCTCCCTTACTATGGACTCGACCTTTTGAAAAAGAAAACGGAAGCAAATCACATATAGTCATTGATACATTAATAACATGTCTAGATGAAGGGGAGAAACAAAGGTTAAGGGCAGAATTGAACGATTTACCTGAAAGGAAACCGTCATTATTTAATTACGCAACATACATCAACGGGTTCGATTATCAAAATTTTGAAAATGCGATAAAAAAATGGACAAAAATTCGTTGTGATGATATTAATGTTAACATGCACGTTTCTTTATTTCAAATAATTGGAAATTTGATCTTTTCCCGTTCCAAACATCTTAAAATTTTAAATTTAAATCATGATGATAAATGTCATGATGATGAAAAATCTCACGAATACACAATCTTTCAAAAGATCTTGACTTTTAATAATATTGAAAATGTTTTATTGAATTTAGAAAAGTTAGAATTAAAATATTTTGGTTGGGAGTTTGATATCGATGGTTCGTTTGGGGATAAAATTTCAAGATTTTTCATTCAACTTTCAAATTATTCTCAAAACATTCAAGAATTAATTATTGATATCTTCTTTGATTCAACGAATACTTTCAAAGTTAGCGAATCTTTAACAAAATTAATTGAATCTCAGAGGAACCTTTATTTACTTCAAGTAAATGAGTATATCGGTTATTCATTTATTCATTCAATTAAAAGTCAGGCGAATTCTTTAAAATTTCTCAGAATTTTGGAATTGAGCAATTTTCATACTTTATTACCCATATTACATGAATGCGTTAAATTAGAAACTCTTGAATTGACGGAATATTTTGAAGTAGAAAAATTAGGTGAATTTTTAAATCCAAACATATCTTTACCACCAATTCACATCAAAAATTTACTCGCCTATCAAATTGATATGGAAAGGAATCCGCAAAACTTTGAGGATGCGATGGCAATTTTGATCAATTTATCAAGACATAAATTAGAATCACTCACGATGGAATATGTAACTTATAGAACAATCTCTTTTCTAAAATCACATTGTCCGAATAATTTGACTCATTTATCTTTAAAAATTTCAACTTTTGCTTTGGTTAAATTATATGAATTATTTCCTTTATTAAAATCCCTTGAAACCTTAATCCTCATAGAATCCGGAAGGTATGAAGACCCTATATCACCGGAATCTACTAATCAATTGTCTCAATTGGCTAGGACCATTCCTCCTAGCTTGAAATGCCTTGGAATTTCATTCTTACTTGACCTTTCTGGTTATAAAAAATTTTATGAAGTACTTTCGGTTCCAATTCAAGAATTAGATGTGTACATCTCATTGGATGATGATTATTTGAAAGAAATTGTTTCTTATGCCGAAAAAAATCGAAATTTAAAGAGGGTCGGAATCATGAGATTTAAAAGTTCGCTTATAGATGGTCATATTTCCATGGAACTTTATCAAAAAGCAAAATCTTTAATACCTATTGTAGGAGAAACCAACAAAATCAAGCATTTCGTCAACAAATAATAGGTTTCTTTTTTTTTATTTTAAAAAAATATATACATATATATATAATTAAATAAATAAGTCAAATAATAATATTTTCTGTACAGCTAGAAGTAATCTCTCACTTAATTCTTATACTATTTATTCCTAATGATTTTGATGATTGACGATTAAAAATTATTAACCTTGAATAATTTAATAATTTTCAAGTTTCCATATTTTATTAGTAAAGGAGCCTAAGTGAAAGACGGTTGATGTATTCACTATTTGACTTCCGTTCGCGAGTGTAACCCACTTGTCCGACATGTTACCGAATTTCCGACTTTGACGTTTTCACCCGGCAGAAATCAAATGTTACATGACCGGCGATTATATTGATGAGTAGGCAAGTAAAAATATATATATAAATTTTTTGATTATATAAATTATTAATCCATTCGACTTGAAGGATGGTATGATCAATAAATGATTTTTTGATTTATTATTAGGCAGTTTACGCCAAGAAAATTTTATAAATAACGAAAATAGCAAATGAAACAATGTTCGTTTCACAAGGAATCAGCAGATCGTGGATATTACATCATTAATTACAATATTGGGATAAACATGTGAAATGGTATTTATGCTTGTCCGATGATATAAAAATTTTATCATCAAAGAAACCGTCGAAACTATTAAAATTTACCACTTTCTCTCTACGATTTGTTTTTGTGTTTACATGACAACATCAGAAACAATGTGTCTCATGATGTAAACAAAAGGAATAAAGATATCACATTTAATTTTTGAAATTTATTCTAACGTTTTTTGATATGTGCCTTAAGCCTTACTTTTTAGTAGAAAAATTGCTTAAAAACAATTCGTGCATTGTTCTATATTTAATATTTTAGTCTTATTTCACTTATCTAAAAGTGGTTTAAATCGTCCAATCAAGTTCTTTAAAATTTTTTATTCTAGTAACACGAGAAGCAAATATAAATTAAACAGATTTTATTAAACGTTCATCCTTTTTTTTATAAAAATTATAAAAAGTAAAAGAAATAAAAAACTCCCTTTTAGGATTTATGATAATTAATGCTGATCATGAATCGCAATCCATTATATTTCACAGTTCACGAATTAATGAAACCTTTTACATTGTTTTTAATTCTCGTGTTTATCGCAACAAATTATTTGTTGTTCATGATTTTTGATGGGCATTTATTGCAATATTCGGATTTTCAGCCGCGTTTGTTAGAGGTAAATATACGACATATCGAATTATGAATTCTCCTTCTCGCTCGACAACATTTTTTTTTCTTTAACTAGATTCCGTTTTCTTCTCAGGATAAGAAGGGATGGAAAAACGATATCGTGAAATCCGAAATGACCAATTCGGACATCCAAGTTAATCAAAAGTATTGCCAAAATTCACAATGTCAATTTTTATTCATATATTCAAATTCAGGAAGTTCAAACATTGAATTTTTAAGCACGTTCGCTTATTTGGCGATTCAATTAAATCGTACGCTCGTTTTAACCAATGTGGGACAATCACAACTTGATTCGTGTAAGAAATTTCCTTTTGAATTTTATTATAATGTCGAGTATTTGCGAAAGAAATTTCATAGGCTATCAATCATCTCACAAGAGCACTTTGAAAATTGGACGAGAGAAAAGTTCAAGAAACCGAATTTTCATTACTTACATTTCACATCATCATCGTCCTCTGTTGATGAAGGTCATAACATAGAAAATATGAAATTAAATTATCGATCGGTTAAACGTACCAATTGCCTTGAAAACTTTAAAATGAACTTTAATAGTAACTTTACGTCATTCGAAAAAATCATCTTTAAATCGGGATTATTATTAAACTCGTTTAATGGTAAAAAACTTTTAAAATCTTTAATTAAAAAATTAGAAGGATCCAATTCGGAAATCTTATTAATCAATAATGATATTCAACGAGAAACCTTTCACCCCATTACTATAAAGTACTCATATTCACAACATATTTATCAAGAAGTTTGGAAAATTAAAATGGCTTTAAAATCTTTTATAGCCATCTCTTGGAATATGATTGACATAAAAGATTCGACCATTTTATCGGATTGTGCTGAAAAGCTAGTCTACGCCTTAAAAGATTTAAGGGAAAATTATAATTTAAATAATGTATATTTATCGACAGATTATCCGATCTCATCGGATTTTGCATCGTTTCGTCATATAACCAAGGATCATCGTCGAGCAATTAACTTAATAAATTCGACAGTCAACATGAATACATGGCACTCCTTTGATGCTTTCAATGCAATCAGACAAGAGAAAGGAAACCATGAAGAATTTAAAGGAACGGGAATCGTGAATATATTAGATAAATTAGTTTGTATAGAAGCGGATTACTTCATTACCGCTCCTTCAGAATGTTCTTCAAAATCTACAAATGATTTTATAAAAGAGATTATTAGCACAAGGCGAGCATTATATGATGATGATAATCAAAGAACTGAAAATATAATATCAAGATGGTAGATTTCGATATGTCCTTATCTTGTTTAATTTTTAATTAATTTATTTATTTTATATTTATTTATTTTACAAAAAAAAAAAAAATTAATTTTATTTCACAATTAATAACTTTTATTTTTTCTTTATAAAAAAAAAATTATATTAAGATTTTAATACCGGAATGAAAATTCTTGTTCAATTTAATCTCTCAAATAAAATAATAAAGTTTTAACTTCAAACCGTGCCATTGTACTCTGCGGATTAGCAATTAAGTTACCAAATTTTTGCAAATTGACCCGAATTTTGAAATTGCTGCATCCAAAAAACAAAAAGAAAATACAATATCAATTTCAAATAATTAAAATTCGTCAAATTCGTTAATGTTCATGGCTCCATGGTCTAGTAGTATGATTCTCGCTTTGGGTGCGAGAGGTCGTGGGTTCAATTCCCGCTGGAGCCCTCCAACTTTTATTCCTCATACTTTTGCATTTTGACTCTTCAATCTCTCTTTGATGATAAAAACATGGTATGGGCCATTGACATATTTAAACTTTATACAAATGAGTAACACCTTCTTTCGTTAACATTCACATTTTATCACTAGTCAATGTAATTTGTACTGCTGGAAAACCAAAAATAAATTGATGCTAAATTCGGATGTAATTCGGTCCGAAAAATAAATTTATATTTTCAGTTTCTCCCATTTTGCCCATCTGGTTTATCTGGTTTATCACAGGTTTGACTTAATCCTTAATCACTATTTTTCAACATTGTTATTCATACTATATTCACAAGCTATCAAATACAAGGAAATGTACAATGGATGTATCGGTGTACTTTTCAAGATGAAATTAATAAAATTAAAACAGAAGCTTATCCAAATGAGATTAGCTGACATCGAGACACTTAAATATCGTGATTTAGACATCATAAAATAAATCATTCATAATTATATTTTGAAAGAAATGTGAAAAGAGAACAAGATGATCACGAAATGTCGTCAATGGACAGATATATTCTTTATCTGAGAATATAATGACGTGAAACAGTAATTAATAAAGACATATTTAATTTATTAATATAATGTTATAAATTTCGTGAAACCAAAAAGAGAACCGAATCATCAATTCATCCGACCATGGGACAACAAATAAAAATTTGGCTTTGTTTAATCCTAAAGGGATAATTTAACGAATTCCTTTGAACAGTTTAGACGAATATCGGTGCGCTCAAATTTGATAGACCATGCACCGACAGTTTTTCAATCGACAAAAGATGTTGCACAAAAAATAAAAATCTAGCAAATTCATAATTATGATTGTTGTCCTTAGCACGAGTCAAATAAATTTCAAATTGTTAAGATCACATTGTTAATTTTATCAATGTTATCTTTTAATTTTCTTCTCTTCGGTGTTTGAAGAAAGTTGAATGCGACATGAAAATTTTGGAATACCAAAGATTATTATGATCTAAATCGATAAACATGTTTAATTCCCGCATAATCATCTATCTTTTGGTAAAATTACTATATAAATCTAGTTATTTGATTGATAGATCAACATGCGGATCTGACGATAACGTTTGAATCATTGTGTGACTGACATTCGTATATAAAACCTTTTTTTTTTTGAAAAAAAAAGAAATAATTTTTCCGTCATTTTTCTAATTTCCTGATGGCTACATTAATCGAAATCATTCCTGCGCCTACCATAATAATTTTATTTAGTTCAATAATTTTATTTTTTCAAGGAATCAAAAGTTGTAAAAAAATTAGATATCAAGAATTATCAAGTACAAATACCGGTGATGTTCCACTTGGTAGTACACGTTTTTCAACTGTAACAAGAGACGTAATAAAGATTGTAATCACTTTTATGCAAATTGGACTACATGGATTTTTATTTTATTGGAGATATGAAAATGATGATGATGATAAATACGTTTTAAATGCCGGATTAATGACTTTGTGTTGGGTAAATAAAATTTTAATTTTAATTAATTAATTAATTAATTAATTTTTTTTATTTATTTATAATCTTCATTGACTTTTCAATTCCTTAGTTTTACGCTTTGATTTTGACATCAATAAGTATAACAACAGGATCAAGAAAGTGGGGATGGATTATAAATTGCCACTTGACAGTATTTTATATTACCGCTATAATCTCATCATTATTACAAATTCGAATTGCTTTATACTATTATCCTCATTCTATACCCTTTCCTAAAACGAAACAAATCGAAATTTTACTTTCCTTGGCGAATTTCATTTTATCTTTTATATCAGCGGCAATTGCTATCAAAACGCCTCGAGGTCCTCCATTATTAAACAACAATCGACCAGTTTACGCTGCAGAATACAGTTCATTATGGGATTTTATGATGTTTAGCACAGTAAATCAATTAATTCGTAAAGCATATTCTCAGCCTTCATTCAATGATACCGATTTCGATCAATTACCTTATGCATTAAGAGCTTCCACACTATATAATAAATTTAAAAGATGGCGAAATCATTCTCTTTTATATCGTTTAGTGAGAACAAATAGAAAATATATATTGATCCAAAGTTTCTATGTCATAATTGTATCGGTACTTTATTATGCACCTTATGCATTTCTTTATCGATTTATCGAATTCTTTCAAAACTATAAAGAAAAACATGAATCTGGTGAAACATTGGAATGGGGTTTCATTTATATATTTGGAATGCTTATTTCAAATATTGTCTTACAATTGTCGATATCACAGAATTGGTACTGGTCTTCAAGCATGTTGCAAGTTGCCATAAAAGGACAACTCAATGCTGAAATTTATTCAAAAGCTTTGAAGAGATATGGTTCTAACGTAACTTCGGCACTTAAGAAGGATGATGAGAAATCAAATGACAAAATTTCCGGAAAAAATGATGTTGATTCAGATGATGATGATGATGATGATGAATCAGATTTAGAACAAAATGCTACAATAGGAAAAATTACAAATTTGATGGCAGTAGATTCCAATAGAATTTCAGTATTTGCAACTTGGTGGAATACTGTTATTGATTGTCCTATTGAGTTGTTTGTGGGACTTTACTTTTTGTATATTCTATTGGGTAGTAGTTGTTTATATGGGCTATTGATTATGATCTTCACACTGCCAATTAATCATCAAACCGCAAAGTATTATAATAAAACTCAGGATAAACTGATGAAAGTAAGGGATCGAAGAGTTGATCTAATGAATGAAGTAAGTTTTTTTTTTTAAAAAAAAAAGGGGGGATTTGTTCCATTTATTTCATTTAATTAACAATCATTATGTGTGATAGGTATTGCAAGGAATTCGTATGATTAAATTTTACGCTTGGGAAAGAAATTGGGAAAATCGTGTACTAGGTAAATTATTGAACATTAGAAATTTTTTCCCTTTCTTTTTTTTTTATGAATTCATTATTTAAATTATTTGCCACCCTTTTTTCAGAATCGCGCAATGCAGAGCTTAAGCAACTCCGCAACACTTTTATTCATCTTACAGTATTCGATTTTGTTTGGATCGTTTCTCCCGTGTTGGTAACAATATCATCTTTTTACATCTATACCAAGATCCAAGGACATGAATTAACAGCATCTGTAGCCTTTACCTCTCTCTCAATATTCCATGAATTAAGATTTGCTTTTAATGTTTTGCCTGAAGTATTCACGGACGGATCACAAGCTTATACTAGTATAAAGAGAATTGAAAAGTTCTTGAATGAGGAAGAGATTAAAAATAAACTTGAAGTAGACTTAGAGGATGGAGAGAATGTATTAGGACAGGAGAGTAAAGTTGGTTTTGAGAATGCTACTATTACTTGGAATCAACCTAAAGATAGTGTAGATGACACCGAATCTGAACCACTGTTTAGAATGGAAAAATTGAATTTAGAATTTCCCATCGGAGAACTAAGTTTGATATGTGAGTTCTGTGAAATTATTTCATGATGCATTCTTATTTACTTGTTGAGGACTTCTCAATATATGAAATATTAAATTTTCAGGTGGGCCAACGGGGTCAGGAAAGGTAAGAGTCACGATAATTGGTAAATTATAATGTTCGAGAAAATTTAAATATATTTAGTTAATCCTTATTATTTATTAGACCTTAATATTAATGTCGCTTCTTGGAGGTAATTATATCATTTAAATTTTTTTTTTTTTTTGGATTTGTCATATTTAATGTATAAGTATTAATCTTGTGTTTAATTGAAAGAAACTCATGTGATAAGTGGAGAAGTTTATTGTCCAAAATCTCCAACAAGTCCTATAAATTCTGATCTTAACCCATCAAATTGGATATTATCAAATAGTGTCGCACTAGTTGCCCAACAAGCTTGGCTTCAAAATGCATCTATTAGATCAAACATCATTTTCAGCCTTCCTTATGTTGAGGACCGATATGCGGAAGTGATTAGAGTGTGTTCTTTAGAAAAGGATTTAGAGATTTTGGAAGATGGTGACATGACAGAGATCGGAGAAAAAGGAATCACGCTTTCAGGAGGACAGAAACAAAGAGTCGCTCTAGCAAGGTTTTTTTTTTTTGTTTTTGCTTGGCATGATTTATAAACTTTCATATTAATTCGTGATAATGACACCTTATTTAAACATAATTGTGCCTCTAATATTTAAATAATTTAGAGCAGTCTATTCTCGAGCAAAGAATATCTTAATGGATGATGTTTTGAGCGCAGTTGATGCACATACTGCTAAACATTTGATGATTGAGTGTTTCTCAGGCACTTTAATGAAAGGGCGAACAATAATTTTAGTTACACACCATGTCAGATTATGTTTGAAAGAAGCCTCATACTTGGTATAATTTGCATCTTTTGTTTCTAATTACCAAAGTTCCTCATCATTTTGCCGAATGAGCCTAATCGTTTTCAATTAAATAAAGGTCACTATTGATAACGGTAAAGTAACTGTGGCAGGAGCCGTATCAGAATTAAGGAGTTCCGGTAAATTGGCTGCCATATTAGAAGAAGCCGATAGCAGGTCCGAATTTGTCAAGGATTCAGCAGAACTAGCAGCAGAAAATGTAGTGAAAGATGATGCAGACAAGCTGCATGTATCTGAATCATCAGCTAATTTATCTGTGGGAAATGTTGAAAATGAAGTTAATTTGGGTGATGTTCAAAAAAATAAGAAGAAATTTTCCAGTACTACAAAACCAAAAGTTCTCGTTGAAGAAGAAGGTAATTCATGGGTTTTTTTTGTTCTGTTTTTTGATTCCTTTTAAATGGTTAATTCAACACACATAAACTGATTCTTTAGCACGTCCGACTGGAGCTGTTAGATTTAGAATATATAAGACTTATGTCCGTGCTAATGGACACATAATATTTTGGTCTTTAGTTGCAATACTTTATATTATAACTAGAACAACTCAAATTATGGAAAGTTGGTGGCTTAAAGTATGGTCACAAGCAAATCTGGAAGAGAGTGGCAATAGTTATATCTCAATTAATACTTCGCATATTATTGATAATGTAACATCGATTTCTTCCTTAATTCCAGCAATGGTTTCAACATATTCATTTGATCGACAGGGAAGGAGTTTATCATCACGAATCCTCCCATTAAATTTTAATGACGATAATGATGCTCAGAATGATACACATAGTATTGACTATTATTTGAACATTTATATATTAATCTCACTTTCATCTAGTATCTTTGGAGTTGCGAGGTTTACCTTACTATATTACGGAAGTTTGAGAGCTTCAAGAAAATTATATAAAATTTTGCTTAATCAAGTTTTAAGAGCTCCACTTAGATTTTTTGATACTACTCCCGTTGGAAGAATTCTTAATAGGTTCAGTAAGGATTTTGAAACTATTGATAGTAAATTAATAGGTATTTAGAATGATTACCACTTTAATCTTTTATAGATTTTTAGTTGTCCGAATATTATTAATTTTGTATTAATTTATTTATCTAGCCGAATTCTCCACGTTTTTAACTTATGTGAGCCTTTTACCCTTAAAAAGGGGTTTGGATTTCTCTTCAATTCCTGATTCCTAATAAAATTGTTCTTATTATTAATAGGCTATTATGGCAATTACAACTATTTTTGTCATAACATCCATTACAAAAGGTAAATTATATACATACATATAATATATTAAGAAACATTTTCCTTACTATATTTAATTCATTTGTAGAATTCCTTATTGCCGCGATTATATTTTGTATGTTCAACGTATATTTTTAATATCCCATGATTTAAAGTTTTACAACGCCACCTTCTAACTTGCCACTCTATGTTTTGATAGGCATTATCTATTTACTTGTTGGATCGTTATATATTAAGGCTTCGCGAGAGTGTAAGAGATTGGATTCTGTTACGAGATCACCCCTGTATTCACATTTTACAGAAACTCTAATGTAAGAATTATTAGATCAAGACATTTTTTAATTTATTATTTATTAAACATATAAACATATCTTTATATTTTATACTTTAGTGGTATTTCAACAATTAGAGCATACGGTGCTACTAAGATATTCATGCAAGATATGTTTGATAAGTATGTTATTGAATTTATTCCATTATTGATATACAACCTTAATTGTGAACTTTTTATTTTAACAAATAATTTCGATTTGAATTTAAGGATTGATTCAAATCATCGTGCGTTTTTTAATATGTGGCTCGTCAACAGATGGTTATCAGTTCGTTTCAGTTTGACTGGTACATTGGTAGCTTTCTTTGCTGGTATCTTCTTACTCTATCATATAGACTCGTTAGATCCGGGCTTGGTCGGAATATCATTGTCATTTGCATTAAACTTCACAGAACAAATAATTTGGTCGATTAGGAGATATTCTTCAATGGAAATGAGTTTAAATGCTGTTGAAAGAGTATGCGAGTTTTCAGAATTACCACAAGAAGCACCTGCTATAATTTCACCAAGACCTCCAGCCGCTTGGCCATATAATGGCAAAATTAAAGTGGAAAATCTAGAGGTTAAATATGCACCAGATTTAGAACCTGTTTTACATCATATTAGTTTTAATATTAAAGGTAGTGAGAAAGTTGGGATCGTTGGAAGGTAAAAATAATTTTTTTTTTGTTTTTTTAAAAAAAAAAAATAAATTCGAGATTATTTGAATAATAAACTTTTTCTTGAAATTTTTTTTGCTATTTTATAGGACAGGGTCAGGCAAATCAACGATAGCATTATCGTTATTTAGATTCATTGAACCATCAAGTGGAAAAATATTGATCGATGATATAGATATAAATTCAATTGGAGTTGAGGATTTAAGATCAAGAATTACTATTATACCACAGGATCCTATATTATTTACAGGTAAATTTCTTTAAGATTCCATTTGATTTGTTAAAAACTTTTTTATATTATAATAACTTCTTTTTCCTTTTTTTTTCAAAAAAAAAAAAAAAAATTTAATTAATAGGAACAATTCGTTCAAATTTGGATGCGTTTTCACAGTACGACGATCTTGAAATAATGTCTTCGTTGAAACGTGTTCATTTAATACCATCGGATTCAGAGCAAGTGGCCGCTTTGGATGCAGTAAATACTTCATCCTTAGGAACAATTAATAGGAGGGGAAGTAGGGGTTCATATACCCATGAGAATATCAATGTGTTCAAAAATTTGGATACACCAGTAAGTGAAGGCGGTAGAAACTTTAGTCAAGGTCAAAGGCAATTGTTGTGTTTGGCCAGAGCCTTGTTGAGAAGAAATAAAGTGATTTTAATGGACGAAGCTACTGCGAGGTAAATTACGTCGGAGAAATTTGATATCATGAGACCATTATTAACTGTGATGAAATTGGTTTATTAGTATTGATTTCGATATGGATGAAAAAATACAAAATATGATAAGAACCGAATTCACGGATTGCACCATCATATGTATCGCGCATCGATTGAGAACTGTTATTGATTATGATAGAATATTAGTACTTGGTAAGTAGATTTTCTAAATGTTTATTTATGATTTTTTTTTTCATTTTAACGTATACATTTAACATTTAAATTTATAGATCAAGGCAACATAATGGAATTTGATAGTCCTCATAACTTGGTGATAAATCATGAATCATTATTTTATAAAATGTGTCAGAATTCCGGAGAATTTGATCAATTAATGTCTTTAGCTTTAAAGAAAGGTAACAAGGATGTGTAGAATTTATTAGTTTATGAAATTCAAAGAACCAATTGACGAGAAAAAAATATATATATATATATATTGCAAAGATAGAGCGCTTAATCGTGATTAGCATACAATACAAATAACTAGATAATAAAGTTTGTAATCAGAATTGAATCTAAATAATATAAGTTTTCTTTTTAGAATAGATGATGATTTTGAATTCCAAGTTAATTTAAAATTGATCGATAACATAAAAAAATTTTGTGCACATTTCCACTAGATCACGTTGTACAAATTACAAGATTTGTTTTATCTTTGATCTTTTGATCACAGATTTACAAAGAAATTTTCTGATTTAGGTTAAGAATGTTTAGAATACGAATATTCATGTACAGTTAACGAGTTGTTGGAGTTATTGGATCCATCAGCATAAAGTTCATGTAACACCGCTGTATTTTCGGCCCGAAAAAAATATTTGGCATATTTCCGGGTTGCCGGGTTGTCGGGTTGTCAGCACCAATCAAAAGTAACCATTTTAAAATTCTCGGCCGACATATAATTTTAGGAAAAAAGGGTTCTCGATTCAACCTTTTCTTTTTTTTTTTTTTCTTTTTGTTTTTTGTCGATAAATTGGGAAACAAAAAAAAAAAGGTTTTGCTGCTGCGCAAAATGACGTTTTCTCGAACACAAGGACGGAAATATCGCGGAATTCCAAAGCATAATCGGTCATGTGATGATGTGCAGAGAAATTGTTATAAATAGGTCTCGGATTGATGATGAAATTTTTTTTTTCAATCACTCCTTTCCGGGAATCACTCCAAATAAAAGATGAGGGACATAACTTACACTTTACCTTACGTTTGTTTATCAAATATTTTCCAACACCTGGAGAAGGATCAAAGGTCTTTACATTCCTGTGTATTTGTCAACAAACAATGGTGTATGTCAGCAATACCGGAATTATGGAGGAACCCTTTTGAGAGTCCCGATCAACAACAGATAGCTTTAATAAACACATACATCGCATGCCTGCCGCATGTAATCCAACAGAGGTTACGAATTACTTCAACCTTGACGCAACCCGTCACCTTCAATTACCCCGCTTACATAAGGAGCATACCGGTTAACCTCATATTTTTAACCGTCATGGAATGGTGTGAATCCAAGATTGAAGCCGAAACTCCATGTGAGAGGATGAAGAAAGAATTAAGCAAAGCCTTGTGTAGAAGTTTCTTGAGTCAAGCCGCGTATATCGACTGCCTAGACATTACTTCAGCGAATGATCTGAATATCTTTCGACTTTATGGGGCATCCTCAAAGTTACCACAAATTCACAACCTGAAGGTGAATAATGAATATTATTCGGACCAATTCAAAACAATTTCGAGACTTTGTCAAAATATTCAATCTTTAATCATATGTCAAACGGAGCACATCAAATTGGGGAATTACACGGATTTGGTGAAGATTGTGCAAGCTCAATCAAAGTTACAAAACCTTTCCATAGAATCTCAAAATATTGAGGGATTTAAAGTCGTTTGGAATGGACTTGTCACCTCCCCACATGCAAGAAAGTCCTTGATTAGCTTGACCATCGAACACATCTATTTTGATCCGACCTTTTACACAAAGTTTCTTCAACAGTTGACGATATTTGAGAATTTAGAGAGGATCGTAATCAAAAAATGGTTCATCGATCAATTGAATCAGGACGAAATCCAAGCTCCGTTCCGAGAGTTTAAAAAATTAAATACCATAATAGTTAAACAATACGATTTACCTTTGGAAATTCTTGAACCCGTCTTTCAATATTCGAGCACAACCCTTCACACTTTACAGCTTAAACGTTTACAAAATTATAACCTTGAGAGGGTGATAGAATTATTATCAACCTATTGTCATAATCTCAAGAAATTCATTGCACCGGTGACGATTAATCAAAGCCTTACGATCGAAGAGTTATTTAAAGGATGTCAACAATTAGAATACTTGCATATTTATCATCCAAGTTTCGATTTTAAGAAGGTACATCCTTTAAATTGTCCTCAATACAACGTTTTTAACGCCATGGATGTTGACGAATACCTGTTGAAACTGAAACACATTTTCCCCGAGAGTTTGAGAACATTTAAGGTTTATTTCATTTGGTTTTTCAGTCCTAGCGTACTAGAAAAATTCCTTGATGGTCTAATGGTCGGAAAGGATAACGGAATCTTGGAATTTTGTTTTAGTCAGGGTTTGTCGGAAGAACATTTGGAAGTGGTCAAAAAATACCCAAAGAATAATATTAAACTTATATAAAAATCCTTTCGTTTTGTATAATAAATTTTTTGTAGATAGTTAAATTAAAAAAAGACAAAAAAAAAATCCTTTTAGTAATGATAATAAATAATTCAAAATTTTCGAAAGTTTCCCTCCCCGCCCATTTTGATCACGTGATTATCGTATTCAAATTTTTGTAAAAAAAATTGAAACCTTTTTGAAACCTTTTTTATTTCCCCTCTTTTACGCATCAATTATTATTTAAAGGCTAAAAACAAATAACGTTGGGAAATTATGGGGTGCATTACGAAAGTTTCACAACACGACTTGCGAAGCATTATAAGTTTTATTGAACGAACATTTTTAAGTGAACAGAGATACAGAACACGTGTATATGGAACCATGATTATGTCAGCAAGGCATACGATGAGAACTCAAGCTAAAAATATGAAATTCCGAGAATTTCTTATTAAATAAATGGAAAAACTTTGAGAAATGTATCATAGGAAAATATGTTGTTTTTCAAATCCGTAATATAAGCTTGAGACGATCAACAAGAGAAACAGACATTGAATAAAAAAATATATATACAAATCAGAACGATCTTGGGTACAACTTTTAATCTAATCAGTTAGAAGAAGAATGATAGTATTGAGGATTCCGTCGTTCCGAAATTGACAAATTGATAAAATGACTACAAAAAAAAAAAAAAAAAAAAGAATCAAGATTCAGGAGTAATGATGAAGAAAGTTATCCATTGCCAATTTCGATAAAATTTGAAATGATGTGATACAAGAGGATGATCTTATTTGCTGAAGATATGAAGTATGAGACTTTTTTTGGTTAAGAATTTAATTTTCTTTCTCTGATCTTCAAATAACGTTATCGAACCTTTTTTTTTTAATATTATGATAGTGAAGTATTAGAGATGAAAGTAGTGGATGATTTAATTATTTAACAAATGTAATTGTGAAATAAGAATTATACTGATAATCAGACACGTGAATTCAAAATCTGATATATTTACTTAAATCTTTATATATTAAAATAATATTATAATTTGAAACATTAAAAAAAAATCCTCAAAAGGAATTACATTAATAAATTAAACAATTATGGAAAAAAAAGGATAATGTATGTTTCCCTCATTTACCAAATCGTTGATTACATTTTGAATATTTACGAAGTCCTTGTAAAAAGATGAAATAACAGAATTGTTGATTGTTGGGCACATGACTTTAAACGTATAATAAAGATATCATATTAATAAAAACATCATTAGATTTAAATATAAAAATACCAATCAATATTTTACAATGGCCAAAACTTACAATATTTCAGTTAGATGAATATGCCACGGTGGGAATCCGTCAAGAAAAACTTTTGAAGAAAATAAAATTAGAAGTTGTGGTTCAGGGAATCGTGTTACTTTAAGGATTTTTTTTTAATTTTAAAAAAAAAAAATGTTGAATTAATTATTGGTACCAAGTAAATGATAACATAAATTCCAAAATACATTTTGTTAATACATACTGCTTAACCTCTTGTCTAATTCCAGAATATTCACATCTTCATATTTTATCTTTTCCTGTTTAATGTCATCAGTTAATGATTTTGCCACGTTCACTATTCGCGTACGACCATCGGAACGTGAGACCAGATTTACCAGTAATTCTACCAAAATCAAAATCGTTAACGTCAAGAGCACTTTGAAAATGATAAAATAATCTCCGTTACAATTCATACCTGGTTCTGTCTCTGTGGATGAACTTATTGATGATAATGATGATGAATCGAGAGAGGTTACTTGAATAGTGGGTATGATCTTCTCCGAAATGAAAAATTTTTGTGAAATGATGTTGATTTGAGATTGAAGCAAATGAGCGTAATGTCCCAGGCGACCTATAGAAAAGAAAAAAGGTGAATCAAATCAAATCAAAACACAAATATAATTGACGGATCTAAAACTTTACCTTCGGCATCATAAATGCTAACAATTTTCACTCCGAAACACTGAGACCAACAGCACAGAAGCGCCACTTCGATCAATCTTTCATCCTGGATATCATCACTCCAAAACATTATTGCGAGATGTTTTGGTACTTTATCTAAACTCTTAATATCTCCGATTAATTTTGTT